AAAACGTCTCCGTCGACTGGGGTACATCGTCTTCGAGGAGTTGAGAACCCCTACTTCTACGTCGTTCATCAAACCCGACCTAATCGCTGTTCGAGAACACCGTGCAACCATAATAGACGTCAGCATAGTCTCGGATGGGCGTGGAGTGATAGTGTGGAATGGGAAGAAGCAGAAGTATGGTGCTGATGAACATTCCCTCGCCATAATCTCAGCCCTACATGCCATCGGTTGTGATATCGACTTTTTGGTTCACCAACCGATGATCATCTCTTATCGAAGGATCTGCTTTCCTCAATCCGCTAAGGCTGTTATTGGACTGGGATTTCCTAAGGTCGCAGTCAGTGACTTGTGTTTGCTTGCCATTGTGGGCTCCCTGCGTACTTATGACACTTTTATGCGTGGCACATGGCGTTGAAGGCACATTTTTGCCATTTAATCTCACACCAGACCCAGTATGACAGTCACTTTGTGCCTGATGTGCGAGTCTTGACTGTGCTAGCAAACACTGCGCCTTGAAGAGAATTCACCATTGTTTGTCCTTTCTTTGGTTGTTGGTCTTTAGACGCGTGTTCCCATACCAAAATCTTTACATACTTTGGGATTCACCTCATCAGACTGGCACTGTCCTTGGCATGATTTCGAATGAGACGTTTCTCTCTTTTCTCCCATATTCTCCTGTTACTCTTTCGCATTCATCGCTTGCACTCACTTTTTATGTTTGTGACCATGCTCTTCAAAAATAAATGATAATATGTGAGACACTGAACATCACGTAGTATTCAAGTGGTGGGCTACTAGATATCGGCGCATACAGTCCTACGAAATCAGCTGCAATGACGAACTCTCCTCACCACTGGTGGTCTCCCAGTCGACATGGAAACCACCAGCTTGAGACGTTACAACTCAATAGATCAGTGCCAGATCAGTCCATTATATTAGTCATAAGCCGTGCACCATAAATACGTCGGTTCTAGCCGCTAGAGTGGCCCTAACCGGCAATTGTAGGGACGAGAAAGATATAGCCTTGCGTTGGAGGCGATTTCACAGTCAGTTAGTCCGTCTTGATTAGTGGACATTATACTATAAATTAGTGCCAACCAACCACAGTGGTGTCAACAACCTCTTTCTGAGAGTGTCCGACTAGGAATATTGTGGATTCGAGACCTTCTAGTGCTTCGTACGCTATCAGTCTGATTAACTAACTGGAACAAACGAACGGCCGTATAAAGGCTATCCAGGGCTGATAGATGGATCGAAGCGTTTCAGCGGGAAAGTGGTCGTTTATCGCCTTCCCCTTCAGGATTCCAGGCCGAGTAGACTGCGAAGCACTTTTAGGCGTGTGATCTTTTCCAGCATTATAAAGCCGTATATATATATATATACTTTATTCGGTAAAGAATACTGGTTGCCATCCTCTACTCCCACACAGTTATCCCGTTTATCTCCGAACAAAGAGCACAACTGTACGGGACACCATGTTTCCCAAAATGAGCTATTTTCTACGGTACCCTTCATTTCTAATACAGATTATGCATATAACTTACAGCACTCACGTTTTCTTGAAAAAAAAAACAACGTCCTTTTTCACATCCATATTCAAAACTATGAAGACCCTATTTCCGGAACAAACTACTCCTGGAACAACTATATGACCGTAAATCAACCGGATAATTAGCCTAGCGTTGCGTGACTGTAGGTATATGATGATATGCCATTAATCATCCTTCCTTGTGTTTTAGCTCGGGTGAGTGTATTGCCGATAGACATCATGGGAATGAGGGTTCAAGTCATCTCGTTCACATGTTTCTACGCAGAAATACGGTCTTTTTTTGTCAAAAGCTCGAGGGAAAATGTTTTAGAATACACACAAGTAGCATCTGCACTGTACCACCGCTCCCAGGTTTTCGGTCCTCATGACCCCTAGTGAAAGGCAATTTAGAACGGGTTTAGATAAATTGGAAATAACAAGTCGCCTTGTTGAGAAAGGGAGGGTGGACGCAGCTTAAAAGGGAGGATAAAGCAGGCTGGATCACTACTGCCGTATGTGATACACAGCCCTTAAATCAAATCTGTCAAGCCTTCTGGGAATCGCTCCATCACCAACACTGGGTATATGTCGTCCCAATGGCAACATGCTACAGTCCATTATATCGTGACAATATGTGTGCTATAGCAAAAAAATATCCCCGACTTATCCTTCTGTTCTATTCAGTTAGCATGGTCAACGGTTGTAGCTGGATGCTTTGAGTACTTTGGAGATTACTCGAATCAGCTGGTCCAAAATTACTCGTTTAACATTTCCTGCTGCCTGATCCCGACCGATGGTGCTCGATTACGTCCACGCATGGTTGCCAACGTTCATGGATAGAAACGCATATACACAAGAGCTACGGCGTAATCAGTGTGATCTCATCGAAGTTGTTTTGTCGATAGTGGTCGGTCTTATTATCGCAATTTTTTTCGCAGACCATCGAGTATCAGATGATACATTAGTACCGGTTGCAATTATAGGTAGATTTTTTGGAACACATTGTAGGGATGCACCTCCAAATTCGAAGTTAGTCACCTAACCTGTGTATGGACAGAGTGGGAACGTTATATCTTCACTAAGTTTCCTCATTTGATGTCACTCGTTTTGATTATCGTATTATAAGCACATGTTGAATGACGTCAATGCTATTCAGGCAATTATCACCAGATTTCTGCATTTTTCTGCGACCAGGGCAAACCTTCTGATCTATTATCAGTCTAAACCTATTGAGTTGGATGCCACTTTTGGAACTGGATGACATATTCCAAACAAAAATAACAATTTCGTGGGGGATGAGGAGAAACCGTAGATTTGTTAGCTGAGAATATGGTAAGTGAAATGAACTGTAGAAGTCGCCATTTTCTGGATGGCAGCCGAAGTGTCGCAAGCTTTAGAGAAAGTGTACACCATTTAGCAAGCTGAACAAAGACGAACACTACCAATATGAAATTGTAAAATGTCACTGTCAAAGAAATTGGTATGGATTAATTAAATGCCTTTTTCATTCGCAGTTTGTCGGCTCTGATGTAGCTCCCACCAATTGAAAACAGGGTGAGCAACTCATGCTTTCTTTACAAAGATGTTATCGGTTACAGCTCCATCTCTGACACCGTGATGAGGCGGAAAATTTGTTAAGCCACTTTTCTGCTGGAAAGCTTGTTTTCTTTGGACATTTCTGCGTTACTCGAACCAAATCAGCCTGTATGCTTACGAAGCTGCATCAAAGAGTGTATAATTTTTTAACGTAATATGTGTTGCTTTCTCAGTTCTTCCATGCGAGTATGTTGGCAATGTTGTGGAATGTAGGTAGCTCGAGTGCGCTGATTGGTTGTTGGTCTGTTTGCCGAGCTTGGAAGTTGGATTGCAAACGTTTCATCGTCAGTGCAATGACGATGTCACATAGATTAGTGATGATGACGATTGCAGGCATGTTTCTGAGTTTAAGTATGGGGAAAGAATAAAAACTTTTCTGGCTTGCGCTGTGGACCTTTAGATAGAAAATTATGATTCACCGAAAATGCCGTCAGTTTTCGGCTTTGCAGAGCCCCAGAGCTCTAATGGGGTTCCGATCGAGAAGCATAGGGAAACAATTAGATGGGCTCTTCACATGTGGTGACAGTGGTAAATAAAGTTAAGTGCTGGTAATTACGCCACTATCTGCATTCCCACAAACTTTCCACACGAAATGTATGGGAAACTTGTTTCCCTTAGTTTGATTTACAAACTTCCCTGGCCGGTCTTAACCGTGCCGATAAATATCGATAGGCCTTTCACGAGTGACTTCAAATTCGAAGGTTTTGCATGTCACTGACAGCGGAGATGGGCAGACAACAGAAACGCTTCCTGGTAAGCGCATAAATGTAAGAGTGGTATCAGTCGAATTAATATATGCTTTGATTACATTATTGGATTACTTGACTGCCAGTAATATTTAGCATGCCTGACATGCTATTAATTACCGCAAACCCTCTATGACAAAAAATTGCGATCAGCTTCCCTTGCACATAAAAATTAGGTTATCCGTACTTTGCAGCTTTCCGATTTTTCTCTTGAATAATATAGGCAAAACAAACACATCGACCCCAGCATGTAACCCAAGAGAAATCATCTTTATCATGTTCATCAGCGACAATGGTCGAGACGCAACACACTGCAGCGCCCGAGTTGCGGCGTGCGAGAACAAACTGGAGACTAACTTTGGAGCCGGTCAGTTATTTACTTGCTTTGCAACTATCCCTCTGAAATAGCTTTATCTCCCAAATGATTACGTAACAACGGGTGAGGTACTGCGTTTTCCTCCAAAATTGATTGCCCCAGAGAGATTGCCACACTTCGTTTTTACAAGAACTTGTTTTTGACTGAAGGTAGTAGGTCAAACAATATGGGGCGTCAGTTTTTCAGCTGCTGCTATTCTATGTAGGTGCGGACAAATCACTCTAATTGAGACCATTTTTTAGACGTGAAGGGAGTAAGACTTCGTTGTGACTTGTGTTTAAACCTTCTCCAGATTCCCCCCCTAAAGGAGATCCAATTTACCAAACATTCGATTACACAAGTGAGTTTTGTCAAAAACACCGACGGTGATTCCTGTAAGACGTCAGCCCCAGTGGAAAACAAGTTGTAAGCCAAAGCAAGTGAGGAGTAGTCTAGCAATCAAGTAAATTTGAGACTGTGAAATGTGCTTTCTGAAATTTTTGTACGGCTACAATCGATACATTTTTCTCGAAAAAATTATCTTGACACCATCTGTGATTCAAATCAGTGCCCAAAATTGCAACATGCCATTGGTGGATTGCTGTCATCATATTGCAAAACAAACCATCGAAGATAAACAAGTTGGAAGGATCGTTCTTTCCCCCAGACACCTAGCAAGTTTATTTGCCAAGTATGTCGATCGATGTATCTTGCATAGATTGCCCTACAAACCACCATTTCTGCTTGAGCGCACTCCAGTTGATTGGCCTAGAAAGCATGAGCGATTCGCACTTAAGTGCTTTCGTCGAACAAAGCTAACCATATTTGCAAGTGTAGAGTCGGATTTTTGAGGGCCAGGCGTTCAAGTGCATGTTAGTGGGCTGGGCAAAATTAAATGAATTTTCCCCACAGACGTTACGTTTTCTTGCTTGAGAAATTCACTTACGTGTGTCTTATCACGTAACAAGAATACAGACACCATAAGCGTAGAGACAAGAGTCTGAGACGCGACAAATTTACAGACTTCTCAGTATCGTATCTACACATCTCGTATTCCTCAGTAACATCCTCATCGGCCCTAGAATTATCAGGACCCTTGAATGCTTCCTTACATATACTTGGGGTTAAGTGCTCCATTACGCCAAGCCGATGTTTTCAGTTCTTGTTTAATACTTTATTTGTAAATGA